ACAGATATAGTCGATAACATAGAAAATGGTAATTTTGTCGGTTATACCGACACGTACAATAATATCCATTAATTGGCTCATTAGCATTATCAGCAGCATTCTCATCATCCCTATTATCAATCTCATATGAAATGAAGATCTGATGTCTTGTTGCATTACAAAATCTGGAATACAACCTAATTCTCAGAAAACCTGGCTTGTTGAAATGTTGATCAAGTTGAAATTCTTCATCATTATTCCTTAGTAGCTTATCTTGGATATATGAAGGTGCTAGATTTATTTGATAAATGCCCACAGTCAAATCTTTCAAGTAATTCAAATCAAATATAGGGAAATCTGCCACGTCACGATAATTGAGCCGTCTCCATTGGCCATTTCTTAGTCGCAAGTTATCTAGCTCTACTCTTGCTTGTATGACATCTGCACCTTGCATTTGGATAATAGGATGATACCTGTTTAGTATAGCTCCAGCTATGCGATAGAATCCATTAAGGTTTTTTGCAGATTTATTGTTTGTGCTAAGAACTTGAAAACTGACCTCAAGTGGCCATTCCGTGCTTCGACTACCCAGTGATTTTTTTTGACGATACGTGAATCATTCGCATCTTGCGTTGGAAGTTGCCTTTGTCCGTGTTCAAGCAGTGGAGGCATCTTATGATCAATGCCTAAACGCTGGAGTAAGGGTATTGCATCACGATAACCTCTATCCGCCAAAACGATGTCACCATTCTGAAACCAGCCTTGTAATGTTTCTGCATCTTTCTCGAACTCTTGACGGAGAATTTTGGCATCATTATTCCGAGCATCAGAGAAATAGGGACCAAAAATCGTTAGACTGTAACCATCGGGAGCTACAACTAAAGTTGGTTTAAGGAGATGTCGATTTTTGTGAACGGAATAGGATTGGCGCAATACCCGAAAATTGTTTATGCAACACGTTCATGGAAAGTGCCCCATTACGCACGCTACGCGTGCGTGATAGACCACTTTCCAGGCACTTGCAACATAAAATAGGGAGTGTAAGCCGTGTGTAAAGATGAAACTCGCCTTCGGCTCGTGCGTAAACTCCGCACCCGGGAATTTTCATCTTACCTCACTTGTTACACAAATAACTATACTTTTATGTATATCCGCGTAGGTACTGTCAATCACAGCGACAGCTCTTGGTTCTTCGGGTTGAGGATTATACAGCTCATTTGCAAACTCCGTTACATGCTGCATAATAAACTCTTGCCTTGTTATTGATTCGGGTCCAATGTTAGTCGGGACGAAGCTCTGTAATAAAGATGTTCTAACATAAGCCACAACAGAACTGACAGT